ATGTCAATCTGGCTCATATGAACTTGCACAAAAAGCAAATATGCAGGCAAAAATTGATTCATTGCACCTTATTACATGTCAAGTTGGTTCATCTCAGCATACACAAAATGCAAGAATCAAACAATCAAAAAATATCAATTGTGAATGTAAGCAAAAAAAAAAAAAAAAAAAAAAAAAAAAGTCTTAGTTTTTGTTTTTACAATACCAACTGATTATTCATTTAGCACATAAGACAAAAGCTATGTTTAGAAACTCAAAAAATGATTTCTAAAAATTATTTTTTCGATTTTCCATGTTTGGATGGGGTTGAAAAATCCCAATCAACGGAAAACATTTTTCGTTGACTGGGACAAATCAAGTTATTTTGACGGAAAATGACTTCTACCAAACATACAACAATGTTTTCGGCGAAAATCAATAGTCTGGTTTCTGCTGGAAACCAAAACTGTGGTTTCTGGCGGAAACCAGGCCACTGGTTCTGCCGAAAACCTTAAAAAAAAAATGGCGAAAGGAACTCTGGTTTCCGCTGCCGGAAACCAGTCTGATTTCCGCCTGTGGAAACTAGAGAGAAGGGAAGCCAGAGAGCAGTACTCTCTAGTTTCCTTGTCTTTTTTGTTTTCTTTTTTATTTTTTTCTTTTTTAATTTTTTAACTTTTAAATAATTATTATTCCGTATTATTTGATTTCAAAAAAATAAATATAATTATAAATATTTTTATATTTTAAACAAAATAATGAATTATATAAAATATTTAATTATATAATTTTACCTTATTTTTCAAAAAATAACCAAACACACAAAGTCAGTTTTTTGATGCGCAGCCAAACACGAAAAAGGAAAATGTTTTCCGGAAATCATTTTCTTGAAGTCATTTTCCTGCTTTCCAAATAGACCCTTTACTTTTTTATTAAAAAAAAATTAGTGAGAAAAATTTAACAAATACGTGATTGCAACATCTAATAATATTATATCATTTTGGCAATTTAATTATCTAAATAAAGCAAATGTACAACATAAGTTTTATACTCCCTCTGTCCCATTTTGCATGTCTTACTTTCCTTTTTAGTTTGTCCCAAAATGTTATCCTCATTCCAAAATTGAACATCACCATCATTCTACTTTTTTCCAAATTACCCTTATGACTTTTGCTTTTATTCCCAAAAGTGAAAAAGTGAAGGGCATAATTGGAAAATACATAACATTTACTTTAATTCCTTAAAAAGCGTGCAAAAAGCAAATGAGACAACAAATTCGGGACGGAGGGAGTATAACCTAACATTTTATTTGCTTATGATATAAGAAATAAAGCATGAAAAAACCAATGACAGACCACAGTCTTCAATTCCTTCTTGGAAACATGAATTATTTTTAGAGAAAATGGTCAAATAAGTCCTCAAACTTTGACTAAAAAGTCAATTAGTCCCTTTAACTTTTTAAAGGTGTAATTATACCCATGAATAATACATTTTGATGCAATGAAGCCCAAATACAGGTAAATGACTTGCTCCTAGGTCATTAAAAATTCGACCACTTTCTGACATGTTTTCCGGCAAAAAAGTGACCGGTGAACGGTCGCCGGTCACGGAGAAGGCAAGTGGTTGCCTTCTCCGGCAAGAAGGCCACCACTGTGGTTGCCTTCTCCGGCGAGAAGGTGACCACGGTGGTGGCCTTCTCGTCTCATCGAAGAAGGCAACCCAGATCTGGGTTGCCTTCTCGGTCGAGAAGGCCACCACTGTGGTAGCCTTCTCCGACGAGAAGGTGACCACGGTGGTGGCCTTCGCGCTGGTGCCTTCTCCGTGACCGGCGATCGGCGTTACTTTTTTGTCGAAAAACATGTCAAAAAGTGGTCGAATTTTTAATGACCTATGATAGCAGGTCATTTATCTGTATTTGGACTTCATTGCATCAAAATGTATTGTTCATGGGTGTAATTGCACCTTTAAAAAGTTAGAGGGGTTAATTGACTTCTTAGTAAATGTTTGAGGGCCTATTTGACCCTTTTCCCAAGAAAATATTAGTCCACTCAGTAGCCCTGCCTTCCTAGGAAGAAAACATAATGAGCAAAAAAAGAGAAAAAGCTAGAATGGTAATTGATTATTGAGAACTAAACAAGAAAATAATATTTGATGGATATTTTTTACTATATAAAAGAAATTTAATAAACAGAATATCTAGTAAGAAATGGTTTAATAAATTTGACTGTAAAAGTGAATTTTGGCAAATAAAACTTACTAAAGAAGCACAACATTTAACAACCATTAGTGCCCCTCAAAGGCAATATGGATGGAAAGTATTACCATTTGTATTAAAAAATGCACCACAAATATATCAAAGGAGAATAGATCAAGTCTTTAGAGATTTAAATGAATTTTGTATAGTATATGTAGATGATATTTTAATATATAGCAATACTAAGAGCACGTAGAACATTTGAATGAATTTATTAAAACTATTAGAAAACATGGAATCTTATTATCTGAAAGAAATCTGAGATATTTAAAAATAAAATTGAATATTTAGGATATATAATTTATGAAGAAGGATTACAATTACAAGAACATACAATGACAAAAATAAAAGATTTTAAAAAAAAATTAGATAATAAAAAAGAAGAGAAAATTTCAATTTTGGTTCACTGACTATTAGGATTGTGTTAATTGCAACACTTGACTTTCAAAAATGTTCATTTAGTACCTTGACTATGTAATTTCTATCAATTTTGGTCACGCCGGCCAAATTACCGGCGAATTATGACCGGAAAATCTAAAGTCAAAATTTAAACCTAATTAGAAGGGGTAAAATTGTCTTTTGTTGTTCCTTCCAATTTGGGAAAGTCAATTATTGACCAAAATTAAACCCCTCCTTTCTCTAATCACTCGGCGAGAACCTCTGGTACATCTGCGGCGGATTCGCACCGACAGCGCCACCTCACATGGGTCCAAAATTAGTTCCCGTCAGCAACAGCAGAGAAACTGATAGAGAACTTTCAAGCTGCTTAGCTTAGCTTGCTGCTCCTCATCGCCTTTCTTCATCATCACTCAACTCAATCTCTCCTTAGCTAGCTAGTAACATGATTTCAGTCCCAAACTGAATGTCTCTTAATTCTATCTATCCATCCATCCATTCAATTCGATCACAAACTTCTCTTTTCTTTAATTTTAATTTTCATTTTCCATCCCGCCCTCTCATCACTTAGCTAGCTTGTGTCTTTCTCTGTTGGTGACTACTATACAGGTACAAATTGCGGGCACCATCCATGTATGTAGGCCGACTTCACGCAGCCATCAACGGAGGAGGCGACACCGACTTCAAATCTCTATATTCATCTACGGCAATTTGAGTCCACCGCCCAAATACGACTACTTGTACTGTGGATCGCCCATCTACGGCTATTTGAGTCCACAGAGGATACGAGAATGGATAGCGCACCATGTCCGATTATTCAGCAAGAAGTCAGTTTTCGTGATCTACGACGCCGGCAGTGCACACCCCGCGGTAATGGAGGCTCTCCGGGCGTGGATGGAGAAGGGCTATGTCACATTACAAGACGTCAAGGAGGAAGAGCAATTCGACGGGTACTACCACAACCAATTCCTAATCGTAAACGATTGCCTTCATAGATACAAATTTCAGGCAAAATGGATGTTCTTCGATGTCAACGAGTTCTTCTTCTTCGATGTCGACGAGTTCATCTTCAAATCCATCATGGATTCCCTCTCCGCCTTCACCCAGTTCAAGATCAAGCAAATGTCGATGTCCAACAAGCTCTGCCTCATGGAAGACGCCGAGAAAATGCACTGGAAAATGGGAGTTCGACATTGGAAGGAACAAGACGCCGGCCGTCTTGAACAGGAAAGGGGTTTTAATTTGGTCAATAAGTCAATTTTCCAAATTGGAAGGAACAGAAAAAGACGATTTTGCTCCTTCTAATTTAGTTCAAATGTTGACTTCACATTTTCCGGTCACAATTCGCCGGTAACTTGGCCTGCGTGACCAAAATTGATAGAAATTACATAGTCAAGGTACTAAATGAACATTTTTGAAAGTCAAGTGTTGCAATTAACACAACCCCAATAGTCAGTGGACCAAAATTGAAATTTTCTCTAAAAAAGAAGTACAACAATTCTTAGGAATAGTAAAATTATGCATCAGATTATATTAAAGATTTACCAACACTTAGAAAACCCTTACAAAGTTTAATTAAAAAATCTAATATATTTGACTGGAAAGAAGAACATACTAGTGCTATTAAAACAATAAAACAAAAAGTAGAATCTTTACCAAAATTAAGGTTACCAGAAAAAGATGATCAATTAGAATTGTATACAGATGCTAGTGACAAAGGATGGGGAGCAGTATTAGTAGCTTATACTAAAGAAGATATAGATAAGGAAAAATCTTTAATATATGGATATGGATCAATAATATGGAAACCTAATGAACAAAAAAAAAATGATATTACTGACATAAGAATTATAAAAATAGAAACAGAGCTTAAAGAAGTAACCGAACAAATAAATCAAATAGCCCACGAAATAAAAAATACTGAAATAGGGATTACAAAATTAGAAACCTTAAGGTATAGAATTTAAACACATTTATCTACTTAATTTACTATCCCAAACCAATCTAGCCTACACCCACACAATTTTTTTTCTTTCCCACAACCATTGAATTGCAATTGGGATACCCCCATGAATTACAATCCAACAAAAGGAAGAAATTGCAACTCCGTTGAATTGCAATTCCTCCAAACAAACATTGTAATTAAGGAGGCCAAAGAATTATGGTGGAATTGCAATGCGATTCATTTCTACCAAACAGGCCGGGGTAGGTAGCTCTGTTGCTTTCTATGTGCACGCAATCCACACATAGAGCTATTTATTTTGGTGTTTTTGTGTCAAAGAAAATTAAAATCAAGCTAAGCTTGCTTTCAACCTTTCAGTTGGTGAAGGGGATAAATGTTACTTGTTTGAAGACAACTTCTGAAGTCCTTTTGATTCAATTAAGCAGAGAAGTTGGTTGTATACTCCATGGCTGCACTTGAAGCAAGCCCTTTGGTATGATGTGCCTTCAACTGCCACCTCCAAAATCAACATTTTCAATCTTTTAGCAGACTTTCATTTGTTGAAACAACATCCCATGCTTACATGTTTAGACAGCGGTTTTCTGACGAACAAACATTTGCTCAAATTTGTGAAAATTAACATTGATTTTGAAGGTTTCTTGCCCACCATCCTCTATTATAAGAATGGAGAAGTATCAAAAAGGTGTTCGCTCAAGCGGAAGGGGTTTAAGTCGCCCAAAGGTTTCAGAGCTTGACTAAATTAGCCTCATCCTGCGAGATGCGGTACTAATGCAGTATGCAAAGAATTCAAAGTGTGCAGAAAATGGGCTAACCCTAGCCAAGTGGGAGCGGCCTATTGGCCTTCTTGGTTTGAGCTAGTCAACTATTGATAACTTAGGCTGGTCTACTTTCTTGTAGTCTTTTGCCAACTAGGGTCACAAAACGAGGTTTAAGTGTGGTGGCTGCGGGTTTCCCTAATCATTCAAAAGAACAAGTGCGCAGAAATAAAGCATGGACTGATTTACATTTTCAAGGGGGTAAAAAGTTTTGTTGCAAGCAACACATTTCTCTTGAGTCCCAGCAAAAAGTTTTGAAACTTTGCTGCTTGTGTGTGTGTCCGTCTGTCTGACCAGTTTTTAACTCAAAATAAGCAACAGACCATGTGTGGAATAACAAGAATTTTTTTACTAAAGACATAAAAGACATCATTATTTATCACAAAAACCCAGACATCTTGGAAATACCTGATCAGTGGATGTTTCCCTTGCCATTTTTGGAGCACCTGAAAAGGGACCAAAGGAGATCGAATAAGCTTTGAGATAGAACGACAGCAACCTTTAATACGCAAATTCTAAAGCTATAGTTGTTTTCACCTTCAAAAGTCAAAACTCTTATCCGGGCTACCAGTCATTTTGAAGAGTTGATCAAAATGAGGCTTGCAATACAAGACTCCTTCAAATGAGTTATAAGCTCTCCAATACTTCCATTTCTCTTTTTCTAGTTTACTTAAACTCCCAATAGAAAGAACAAGTCTCAAAGAATGTGTCCACCAAATAGAAAAAACAAGAATGTTTTTTAAGGATGTAATAGATATATAATTGACTAACGGATACATTTCTCCTCACTCATTAAACAACTGCATCCTTGAGCATTGTACTAGGTTACTAGACTCTTGTGTTACATCAGAAAAGAACAATCGAAGGGAACCAGAATGCAGAAGAGAACTAAAGAGACAGAAATCGTGCTTGGACACAAAAAGATTATCTAAGTCCTCGCTAATTCATTCACAGTTGATTTTAGAAAACAAATGTTCTGAGACATCTTAGTCAATCGCAACACTAGGCACACTGAAATTCAGTTTAAGACAACATTATTATCAATGTGTCCATCACATAACCTAGTCAAAGTTAAGCAAATTTAATGGGGAATAACCAAAATATACAATGTTTCCAGAACCTTTTAACTTCAAATGGTTAAGACACATGTATTGATCACTTAAAATGAAGGGGAAAAAAAAGTGTCAAAGACTCAACCTTGAGTAATAACCATCCATTCTGAATTCCCTTCATTAGCAGAAAAAATTGACTCTCCAGATATGCAGATCAACCAAACCCACACCAAACAAGAACAGTTAAATGTTGCAAAAACTTATAAGACACTATTCCTTAAATGACACAAAACCATTAAGATTACAGAATTAAAAACTAAACTAAAGCAGAAAAAATTGATGCAGCAGATCATCAATGTTTCAACCAAAACAGTAATAAAAACACAAATTAATTAAATGATACACATCATTAGATATATATATAGAGATATATATATAGAGAGAGAGAGAGAGCTAATACCATCTGATTATACAGTGACCTTTAAACGTGGTCCTTTGATGCTGATCTTCCATTTTAAGTCAAAATATAACAATTAGCCTAATTGTACTTGTTTCTCCAAGAAACCCAATATAAATTACTTCTTCTCCAAACACATTCATTTTCCCCAACAATAACTTTCATAGTTGAATATCTGGTATTAAGAGAGTAAAGGCATATGTAAAAGAGATTTGCGGTATAAAAATATAAAACTAGTTTAATTGATAGAACCATCAAACTTAAGTACTCAACACATGAAAGCAAAGCATAAGGTCTGACACTAGACTGGGAGCAGGGGAAATAAAAAACAGAAAAAGACACTAAACGACGACGGATATGGAGATCAAACGGCCTCAAATCAAACAGATCATGGGCGGATCTAAATAAAAACAGACACTAAACGACGACGACAGATATGGAGACACACCGGCTTCGAGCACCTTCCGGAGCTGGATCCAACCGCCTCAACCTTCTTAATCACGTCAAAGCCCTCGACGACTTGGCCGAACACCACGTGCTTCCCGTCGAGCCACTCCGTCTTCGCGGTGCAGATGAAGAACTGTGAGCCGTTGGTGTTGGGGCCGGCATTCGCCATGGAGAGGATGCCGGGGCCAGTGTGCTTCTTCACGAAGTTCTCATCGGCAAACTTCGATCCGTAGATCGATTCGCCTCCGGTGCCGTTTCCAGCGGTGAAGTCGCCTCCCTGGCACATGAAATTAGGGATCACGCGGTGGAAGGTGGATCCCTTGTAGTGCAAGGGCTTGCCGGACCTCCCGACTCCCTTCTCTCCGGTGCAGAGAGCACGGAAGTTTTCGGCGGTCTTTGGAGTGGCATCGGCGAAGAGCTCCATCACGACGCGGCCGGCCGGTTGACCACCGATGGTCATATCGAAGAAGACCTTAGGGTTAGCCATCAATTTTTCTCTCGCAAACAAACAAACAAAAACAAAAGCTCTCAGTGACTACAAATCGGTGCCTAGGGCTTATATATATATATATATGGATTTGGTGAAGAAGAAAAGGTCATCCCATCTTAGTCGAGGGTTTATATTATCTAGAACTCTAGATACTATAAAATATTATAATTTTTTATATTTTATTATGTAAATTTTGTAAACAAAAACAAATATATAAATAATTTTATAATTTTTTTTTTTTTTATGAAAACCTTATCTTAAATTTTTTATCATGTAAATTTCAAAACAGTCATATTTACGGAGTATATCTTTTGGGTTGACGCCTTCTGTCCCGAATTTAATATTTAATATTTAATATTTATATAAAAACTAAATTAGTATTTGTAAATTTAATAATTCTCTCAATTTAGTATAGTTAAATTATATTTTGAACATAAAAAATTTTACAATATTCAAATTTTTCATCAATAATATTCAAATATTTAAAAAATTTCTATTATTCAAATATTAATAATATTTATTGTTAATATGATAATAATTTAATAGTATTAGTACATAATCTATTTATACTTCTATATATCAATGCAAGATTATATTGGAATTGTTCATTCTCTCAAAAGGCTGAGCCCCAACCCTAAGGGCTAGACTGGTGCTCACTGCGCACAAGAAGCCCCCCTCACTTTGAGAGATTGCTCCCACACTGCCGTTGGTAAGACTCGATCCCTGATCATTCTTCCAAAGTTTCACCTCTATGACCAGTTGAGCTACCCATGCGAGCATATTGGAATTGTTCATGCATAGATGATTGAACGTTGAATTTGCGTATTTAAATAGGTAATTCTAAGTTTACAAATGCAAGATAATATAGTCAAGATTGATTATAATTGTCAATAAAATAATTGTATAGGTATGGTTGAAACCAAATACGAGACATAATGGAGAACAAATAAAAATTAAGGCATAAAATATTAAATAAATACTAAGATTGAAGGCTAACTGCTGATTGCCAAACAAGGACATTGCGAGGGTAATTTTCCACTTTAATTTGTTGTGTGATTTGAATACTCTTTTTGTCATTGAATCCCCCAAGTAGTTAATATGATTGACTTAATTTTTTATTTATTTTTTATTTTTTTAAATAATAATAATAATAATAATAATAATAATAATAATAATAATAATAATAATAATAATAATAATTATTATTATTATTATTATTATTATTATTATTATTATTATTATTATTATTAAATATACCTATACGCTTAGGTCATTTTACATGTTAATCTAAATAGCTAATTTTTTCAAATATTTTTTACCAACCGTGATATAATTCGCTGGTCAAATCCGTTAACGCTAAACGCTAATTGCTGATTGTCAAACAAGGACATTGCGAGACAGTTCTCACTTCAATTTGTTGTGTGATTTGAATACTCTCTTTGTCAACAAATCGCTCAAGTAGTTAATATGATTGACTTCATTAATTTTTTTTTTAAAATTTTTTCATGGTATTAATAAAATACTTGGTAAATAAATATATAGCATTATTTTGTATTATAACTTTGATATTTAATTAAAAAATAGTGCACAAAAAAGATAATAGACAATGTAGTGAATATAATCAATTGATGAATTTGAATGTAAAGAATTTTTACATTGGAGAAATATAAAGACAATATAACTAATAAAATTATTTCTCTTAATTTTTTTTTTGAAAGTCAACCTGGTGGTTGTATTTATAGAAGAGTTAAAATAGAGTCTGGCGGGACATTGTCCCAGTACATAGCAGTAGCGAAACTAAGTGCTGTAGTAGCTAAAGTATGAGCTAATAAATTATGTAATCTAAGAATGTAAATTACTGAGCAGTAAGTAAAAGTAGAAATATAGGTTCTGCAACTATCGATAGCATAACCTAGATATGAGCGTGATGTGGCTGGTGGTCCAGATAAATAGCACTGCAGTAGTTGACAATCCGAATGAATCTGTATAGATAGTTCATTCCTCCTTTTAAGCCATGATAATACTTCCTTGCATGCAAAAGCCTCGGCCATGAGCGGGGAGTGGCAACCTATTAATGGGGCGCTGAAAGCATATATGTAGCGGCCATTGGCGTCGAGGAGTACCGCACCAGCAGCTCCTGCATTGGTTCCTCGGTGATAGCTTGCGTCCATATAGCATTTGACGGGCGTCATCACCTCGCCATGCGTGACTTCCGGCAAGCTGGCGTGCGGCGGAGGCAGTGCGGTTTCGGCAGCGTCGGTGTTTGGCTGCTCGGCAGTAGGGTGGTGGGCAGCAGCTCGGGGCTGTGATGGGGCACGATGATGGAGATCCTTCCATGCTCTCATTGTAACTGCTGCAATTGTTAATAATTTCGTTAGCCTTGGTAGACAGGCATCCCATACCGTTCCATTTCGGGCCCTCCATAGATGGTATAAAATTGCAGCTGCATAAACAATTCCATCAAAGTCTAGAACATTCAAGATTGCACTAAACCATTCATGGAAAATATTTGTGACAATATTGGGGATTGGAAGGTTGGATTTAGCCCAAATGGAGTGTGCATAGTCACACAAAACTAATGCATGCATGGTATCTTCATTCACTCTCCCACACATGGCACACATTGGGTTAACATCCACTCTCTTTATAAGTAAGTTGTTGGTAGTAGGAAGGATATCACAAATAGCTCTCCATAGGAATGTCTTCCATTTTGGTGGAATTTTTAATTTCCATAGGGCTAGCCATTCATTAAAAATCCCATTAGAATTATTCTCGTAATTACCAACTATACGCTTGTAACCACTCTTGACTGAATAACATCCATTAGGATCACCATACCAATACCATATATCATCATACTCAGGGGCAACTGGTATACTCTGAATTCTGGGTATATCACTCGGTTGGAAAATATCAGCTAGTATATGCGGATCCTAGGTGCCCGTATCTTGATCAATTAATCCTTCCACTCTGGCCCCAGACAGGTACTGTGGCATTTCTGTGTGAATCCTAGGATCCAGTTCATCCTGCAGCCAGGGATGCTCCCATATTAAGGTAGAATTCCCATTCCCAATTCGCCTTCTTATACCGCCACATACTAGGTCCTTAGCCGCCATGATACTGCGCCAACAAAAGCTTGGATTATTTCCTATAGTTGCCTCTAGGAAAGTATCCTTCGGATAATATCTAGCTTTATAAACCTTGGCTACCAATGAGTCAGTGTTAGTGAGCAGCCTCTATGCCTGTTTTCCTAACATTGCCAAATTAAATGCCCTTAAATCTTTAAACCCCAGTCCACCATGTTTCTTTGGGACACACAATTTATCCCAGGCTTTCCAGTGAATGCCACGATCCGTACCTGACCCCCACCTGTACCGATTCATAACACGTTCAATAGCTGTACAAACAGATATGGGTAAAAGAAAAACACTCATTGAAAACGTTGGCATTGCCTGAGCCACACTTTTCAACAAAATTTCCTTACCAGCCTGTGATAACAACCTCTTGTTCCAAGATCCAATCCTCTGTTTGATTTTATCTTCTATGTATGCAAATGCAGCCTTCTTGTTCCTACCCACAAATGAGGGTAACCCTAGGTATTTCCCAAAGTTGGGGGGCTTGGGCAACACCTAGTATTTGTGCCACCATATCCTTATCAGTCTGTCCTGTATTCCTGCTGTAGCATATATTGGACTTATGATAATTTACTTTCTGACCAGATAAATTTTCATATAACTGTAAACAATTTTTTTTATCTCAGATGCTTCCTATCTATTTGCTCTGAAAAACAGTAGGCTATCATCTGCAAAAAATAAATGAGAGATCGGCGGTGCTCCCCTAGCAACCCTGCAGCCATGTATTAAACCTCTATTCTGCGCCTGCTGCAATAGCACTGAAAGCCCCTCCGCACAGATAATAAACAAATATGGAGATAATGGGTCCCCCTGGCGGAGGCCACGCGTGGGCGTAATGGAGGAACTGCGAGAGCCATTTATCATAAAGTTATACGACACAGTAGTCACACACAACATAAGCAACTCAATCCATCTATTATCGAAGCCCAGAGCTAATAACATCGGAGGAAGGGCCATTCCATGCGGTCATAGGCTTTGGCCATATCAAGTTTGTGTGCACTCCAACCTACAGCCCCGCACTGTTTCCTATTCAAGTAGTGGCCCACTTCCGCAGCTACAAGAATATTATCAGTAATCAGCCTGTCTGGAATAAATGCACTCTGAGAGCCAGATATTATATTCTCTATTAATGGTTTCATTCTCTGCGTAATCATCTTAGCCATTATCCTGTAGATCACATTGCTCAACGCTATCGGGCGAAAATCCGCTACCACGTCAGGGGTTTTCTTTTTCGGGATGAGTACCACATCCGTATTATTCAGGCCAGAGGGGAAGACTCGATTATTAAGGCAATTCACTATAAATGCCGAAATATCGTTACCAACTACATCCCAAAAATTATTTCTCTTAATTAATTTATTGATAATGAATAATTTTTTAATAAAGACATTGTAGGGACAATGTAGCGAATATAATCAATTGATGAATTTCGATGTAAAGAATTTTTATATTAGAGAAAAATAAAGACAATATAACTAATGAAATTATTTCTCTTATTTACTTTATTGATAATGAATATTTTTTTTTTAATAAAGACATTGTAGACACATAATTCTAAATTAAAGAAATGCATTGTGTTATTTTTTGTTGTAGCTAGTAAATTATTATTTAATTTAATAAGAGTAAAATAAAGTACTAATTATACCAACTTTGATTGGGGTGAGGTTCGAACCTAAGACCTTTCTTATTGAAATCAATGAGTAAGTTAACGGTGAACTAACAGAGATTAACGAAAAAGATAATATTTAACGAAAAAGTTAACGAATAATCATATTCATTAAGGATAAATTAGGAAATCTTAAGGAAAAATTAAAATTGATAAATCCGAGCCATTCATTTGATTAAAAAATTTGACCGCCATTTTTTCTACCTATTATAGGCCTAACTCTCTTGGGCTCTTATTAGTATAGCAGATC